GAAGAAGAAGAATTAAGTCAAAATTTCATTGAATAAATTCTTATGAAAAAAATTTTTGGTTGGAATATTAATATTTTGTTTTTGTGACACCAGGGGATTGAGGAGTTGCAGAATTGTATAAATGAAAGTAAATAGTAATATAGTATGATTAAGATAAGTAGCTGGCTAGTGAATAGCACTCCATGATAATTTTTATAAATGTTATGTTTTTCAATGTTTTATTTGTTTATATTATCAATGTTCTTGTTTTAAATATTATTTGATTGAAAATAGGTTTGTTGGAACTATAACATTTGTTTATTGATATTTGAATCCTGGACAAAATAGTGATTTTGAAGAATGATTTATATATTTTTGAAAATGTCCCTGTCTAAACTTATATTGTTTGAGAAGAATCCTTCTTCAATGACTAATGGAATTTGAGATAAAGCTTTGAAAATGTCATTTGAAAACTTTCATGTGGGGTGATTTGTTATAAAATATTTTTTCTTTGTGAGACTTCATTATGGGATAAAGACATCTTTCATTTAATAGTATATTGATCCCATGGGTGCTTGAAAATATTTTCTTTTTGCAAGGACTAAATATAGAATGCTGTTTGCTAACAGCAGTACTATTAGCTCTTGGTGTACCATAGTTAATATTGAGCTCGCTTATTATTCATGGCTTTAGCCACGCCTGTTATTTTGTGGGCATTGTTCTCACGCTTGTATCCATGGTTCCAGCTGCACTTTTTGTGTGGCTCTGGCTGCAATTGTATTCACAGCTTTGGCTGCACTTGTATTTGTGGCTTCGGCTGCGCTAGTGATGGTGTGCCGTGGTTAAAATCAAGCTCGCTTGACATTTGTGGGTATTGTTCCCACATTTGAATTCGTGGCTTCAATCTCACTGGTTGGTTACTTACCCTCGTGGATTGTATGTCCATGCTTATTAGTCGTTCTGATGAACTTCTCAACTAAAAAGAGTTTCTTACGCTACTTCATGGTTTGAATTTATAAATAAGGCTTTTTTTATGCCGAGTTTAATTTGCATATCAAAAGCTTTTTATATATTTTATGTTCTCATGGCTTATTAAGAATTTAAAAGAAATGGTAAATTATTTATTTCACATGATCATATTGCATAATTTATTCTTTTAGCACTTTCTTTACTTTGTTTTTATTAATGGAAACTATTTTGTCTTCAGACAACATCATTGGCTCTGTACGTCTAATTGAACAGCAAAGACACTCATTATTAATCAAAACTTATAAATACGTTATCTTTTAGTGATGTAGAAGTTTACATTAAAGTATTTATTTTCATAGTTTAGGTGCTCCATGTAGTCTATAGGCAAAATCCCAGCTTCTTTTTGATACAATGGGATATATGTATATGTATATTGTGGTTATGGAACGAAGCTCTATTTTGCTACTCAACTGTTGGGTTGTTGTAGAATTTTCAAAAAAAAAAAAAAAAAGGACCTACAAGGAAAGTTCTTCCAAAATCTCTACAAAAAGACTTACGGAGCGAAGAGAAAGCGAAAAAGCGCCGCCGAAGCAGCGTGAGCAGGCCTCTATTGCTACGCAACAATGGAGTAGGATAGCATTTTGCGCCAAGGATTCCTCTCTTACTATATTCACATGATATATTCATTCACAGAACACTTTATATCAGTTCACAGTCTCCATAACTTATATTCCTCAATCCAATCAGGTTCTGTTCTTGATCGATCTTACACTGATCCGAGGTTACCGGCTGCTACGACCTATGCACTAGAAATAATGGATGAACCCTTAAGATTTTTGTATTTTCATGTCAAGCATTTGTTTGTATGTCTTAAAGACTTTAGTAATGTGAGTTCTCATTTTCCATGCCGGTCACCCGTTAATTTTCAAGGCGTGACAAATTTAGTAACTTCATTAATTTTTTCATATTAATTAACTGGTCTTATATCAAGAACCAGATGTAGTACTTTTCTTTTCTTACAAATGTCAATACATGACTTTACTAAAATCTGGACGGGAATTTAGAAACTTATTTATTCTCAGAAGATATGTATATTAAAGGATTAGAAGCGCAGTTAATTGTAGTCATGGTTAGGATAGGCATATCTGGCCGAGCTAACATTCCTAGATGAGGCATCCCAATCCCCAGTCCCTTGTGGGGCACCTTTTTTTATTTTAGAAAAATTTGATGTGCAAGTACTATTTCTTTAATATTTAATTAAGTCTTTCCAGTTTTTTTTCCCCCTCTGAGGCCCTTATTATCATCTCTGTTATAAATGTTAGTCCCTATATTTATAATTTAATTCTAATATATATATACACACACACATAAGCAACCTGTAGTGCTTTTTGTTTTGCCAACTCCTGTATAGCTATAGATAATCCTAAGTATAAGAGTTGATTAACGATATTAAATATAAAATCCCAATATACTTTATCTCCCAAATTTATAATGTAATTTCAAAAAATCCCTATTGATTATAAGATAGTTTCACCCAAATGTAGTTTTAATGTACATGATTGAATAAGAGTAATTTAAAGAAGTCAATACACATTTGTTATAAATAACTAACTTAACTAATTTCTTTCACCTTTCCAAATTAGTTATCTTAATTTTATATTAAAGAGCGAAGGCAGTATATATATACATGTAGAGCTTATTTGGCTTAGGTAATATAAATTTAAGAAATATAAATTAATTATTAAAATTCAAACCACCCCTTTTATTTTTTTAATAAGAAAAGTAAATTAGTTGTGGCTATTGTTTGATCATCAAGACACCAAGTGCTACAACTCTTTTTTGACCTTGGAAGTGCTACGACTCTTTCAAACTTGGAGAAAAAAAAACATAATAAATTAAAATATAGTTGTAGTCTAGTACTCTAGTAAACAGCTTCTTTCTAAAATTTAAAAAATAAACACAAGTTGTCGCACTTTATTAGCAAAATGCTACAGCTTATTCATATTTTAAAAAATAGAAATTGATGAAGAGTTATGGACTTTTAACTAAATTTCCCTTTCCTTAACAGAAATTTGGTAAAAAAATCTCTATTTAAAAATTTAATTGACTAAAATGATCTAAATTTGATAGGGTACAGCTATGTTATGTGAGTACAACTTTTTTCTATTGTGTACAACATATCTTCTGTTATGTATAGATGACTTTCATATTCATGATTGTTGCACATCATTGATGATATGTTATACACAATGGAAAAAAAAATTATACTGATGGATCATAGTTGCACTCACCTAAATTTAAGTTCTTTTAGCTAATTAAATTTTTAAACAGAAACTTTTAACCAAATTTTTCATTTTTATTTTAATAATAGATAAATTTTATTTCATCATTTTATTTTCAAAACATCCCTTTATTTTGTATTTTGTGACACTTTGCATCCTATCCATATAAACTCTAATTAATAGAGGGACTAATGACTATAATTAAATTAACGGCAAGAACCCAATTAATAAAACTAAAAAAATTTAATTAAAAATCAGATAAAAAATATAAGGGTTAAGGGTCAAAAATACTAATGAAAAGATATCAAAAGTTCACTCAACACCATCAACTTTCTTTGTATTCAAATATACTAATCCAAATTTAAAAAGAGCTCAATAATGTTAGTACCGTTAAAATTAACTAATTTTCTTGGTTATGGGACCCACAGCTTTTTTTAATGAAAGTACCAAAATACTCCCAACTAAAAAAAGTTAAGGGTCAAAAATACCCGTGAACTTATACCAAAAGTTCACCAAACATTATATAATTTTTAATAAAAGTACCAAAATACCATCAATCTCAAAAAGCTATTACATTAAAGTGTGTTACAGATTATTAATGTTTCTTACAATTTTTTTCTTGATTAGCCAATTTTTTCTTTTTTTAATAAAAACTAGCGAATTGTTATGGCTATTATATTAATTGTTATGGGTGAAAATATTTTAATAACATAAATATTATATGTCGTAATTAAATAATTTTGTAAATTATCGTCTTTTGAATTTTAACATCGTTATTACTTATCCCAAAGTATTTTAATTTTAGAGAATTGTTGAATACAGTCAATAAAATAAATATTTACATTTTAATCTTTTGATTAGTATTCATTTGATATTTTTATATTTTAAATTCAATTTAAAAAAATTATAACTAAATCTCAAAAAATTATATGAGGATGCTTCAAAACTTGATTAAAACGAAGAATCTAAATTCATCTTGTATAAGGACAAACTTTTTTTAAGGAAGGAAGATAAACCGAGAAGACCACCAAGAGGTTAGAGGGAGATGGTAGTTTTTTGTTTTTAAATTAGCTAGGGGTATTTTGGTAGTTTCATTAAAAAATTGTGGGTCTCACTACCAAAAATGGTTTTAAATTCTCTCAAAGAATTGAGCATAATCGTAAAAGAAATTTTAGGTTGATTATTAAGTTTGATAACATAAACTAGAGGAAAAATACACAACTCTATATGCCATTAATACAAATAACTTATTTTCAAAAGATAATAATAATGTCTACTAAAAAAATGGAGATATAAATAACTTATCGTTGAAGTTTAAACTTTTCTACACAAGCTATTTTAATTATAAAAATTTATCATAATTAATAATATCAAACACACTCCAATGCAAAAGCTCTTCGAGATTGAGGTATTTTGATTAAACTTAGATTAGTATATTTGAACCCAAAAAAAGTTCATGGTGTTTGGTGAACTTTTAGTATATTTTCATAGTTATTTTTAAACCCTTAATCCAAATTATAATGATTCAGAAATTTAATTTTTCTGAATATTTTATCCTTTATAAATTAGTAAGGAAAATTCTCTTTCTTTCAAACATGACCAAATAGGAATTTTTTTTTTTTAAATTTGATAAGATGACCATATTTCTCGTATGAATTACAAAACTCATTGTAAAAATGACACTTTTTTTTTTATTTTATGAAAAATATGTTGTCAATAGTAATAAAAAAACTTGTTAATTTTTTTGATACACTTGAAAAGGAGAAAAGGCTAAACAAGACTAGGAGACGCAATGATCGTCTGCACCGCAATCGAGCTTAAAACTTGGAGACCCATTGCACCATTAAGAGCAAACTTTGCAAGGGAGTCAGCCATTCGGGTATCCTCACGGCTAACAACCTGGAGTTCTAGTTTCCGATTCCATTCGATCATGTTCTGGAGTTCCTGGATGACTTCTCCTTCAGTGTGTAAGCTGCTGTCACCTCCAGCGATAAGTTGAACGGCCTCTGTAGAGTCACTAAGTAATATAATCTCACGCTCCCCTAGGTCCCAGGCTCGTTTAAGACCCACCAAACAGCCCCATAACTCTGCCGTGAGGTGGTCCTTGTGATCTAGCTTGTGAAGAAATCCCTCCACCAGCTCGTTGTTATGCCGTCTTAGAATATCAGCACAGGCAACTGTACCTTGGGTCACCGAGAAGGCCCCATCGACTTCCACAATCAGCTTGTCACCCATATCTGCATTCACCTGCTGTGACAGATGGCGCTAAGTAGTATTCATGTTTATTCCCCGCAACTTAGTTGCCGTGAGTTTCATGCAAGTCAGCATCGCTTGCGCTTGGGTTGGGAGAATGGAAAACTCGGTCAGCTTGTTCAAATGAATTAGTTCATTTCTAGCCCTCTAAATCAGCCAACACAAAATAGAAAACATACACTTCCATTCACCCTCTATTTGGCTGACGTTCCTTGAAAGATTCAACCGGAGCCAGTCCTGGGTTTCAACAGAGAAGAACCTGTGATAATATTCTGGTTTAACAAGGGGTTCCCAGAGGTGTTTACTATCTGGACAATCACGTAGTGCATGAAGTTCATCTTCCACCTCGTGTTTGCATTTATCACAGAGACCGTTATGATGAAGTCCCCGTTTTAGTTTGCGTTTGTTGGTAATAAGGCGCTCGTGGTGGAGAAACCAAGTAAAAGTTTTATAGCATTGAGGAATTTTCATCTTCCAAATAGTCTTCCAGCTTATATGGGTGGGAAGGCTCGGGGGATTTAGAACAGCGTAAGCTGATTTAGTAGAGAACGTACCACTCTTGTGCCATTTCCATCGAGCTACCTTACTGCCCTCCTTGTCATCCTTTTCTTCAATGCCCTCCTTCACATGGTTCCAATTGCTCTTGATTCCTCTCCATGTATTTGAGCCAGTTTTTTGAGCATTGATATGAGGAATAAGGTCGTTTCCACAGCCATACTTGTGACGGATCACTTTAACCTAAAGGGCATCGCGTTTGGTAACTAGGCCCCAACCGAGCTTCATCATGAATGCTCTATTTTGCTGTTTAATGTGCTTCATACCAAGGCCTCCTGTTAGTTTGTCCATGCAGATACCATCCCAAGGGATGAGGTGCATTCTTCGCTTGTCATCTGAGGAGCCCCATAAGAAATCTCGGGCTTGCTTCTCAATTTTCTTACAAGTGCTATCTGGGATGTAGGCCGTTTGCATAGCGTAGGAAGGCATAGCATTTATTACAGAATTGACAAGAGTACCACATCTAGCAAATGATAGATTATTAATCTTCCAACCACTGAGACGGCCTTTGATTTTATCAATAATAAATTGGTAGGTGCTATTTGAGACACGTTCATGGTGGAGGGGAGCCCCAAGATATTTTCCAAGATTAGCAATATGCATAAATCCAAGTTCCTCACTAGGCTGGTGAGCTCTAGTGTGGTTGACATTTTTGGAGAAAAAGACTCGAGTTTTTCCTTGGTTCACTTTTTGTCCTGAAGCTTTGCAAAAATTTTGTAGGCACTCCTTAATAACCGATACTTGTTCTAGACTAGCCTCTGCAAAAATCAACAAATCATCAGCAAAAAACAAATGGGATATAGGAGGGCCATACTTACCTAGTTTAATGGCTCGCCATCTCCCAGAGTTCAATTCAGCTTGTATAATGTGAGTGAGTTTCTCCATGCAGAGCACAAACAAATAGGGAGAGAGTGGATCTCCTTGACGAAGTCCTCGAGAGGGATTAAAGTTATTTGCTTTGTCGACTTCCCAAAGAATTTGCATCGAAGGAGAGGATATACAAGAATAAATGACATTTTTAATCGAATTGGGCATTTTAATTTCATCAAGACAAGCTAAGACGAAATTCCAATTAATTCGATCATAGGCTTTCTCCAAATCAATTTTTATTGCCATAAAGCCTCTTTTTCCAAACATATTATTCATTGAATGAATCACCTCCTGCACCACTATAATATTATCTGAGCTTGTACGCCCCGGAACAAAATTGCACTGGTTAGGAGAAATAATTTGAGGAAGAAAATTCTTCATCCTATTAACCACCACTTTAGTAATAATTTTATAGATCATATTGCACAGACTAATCGGTCTAAAATCCTGGATAGTCTCTGGATGGTCTTTTTTAGGAATAAGCAAAATAAAAGTATGGTTAATATTTTTAATAGATGAAGGATTAGCAAAGGCTTCTCTAACCAGCTTAATAATAGATTTACCTACCAATCCCCATTGACTTTGAAAAAAAAAAGCATTTAAACCATCAGGGCCAGGGGATTTCAGAGCACCCATGCTAAAAAGGGCAGCTTTTACCTCTTCTCCATTGATCCCTTTCGCAAGTTCTGCAAGATGCATAGTCTCAAGCTCAAGGTAAGAAACTCTATTCTCATTCAACCTGTCATTATATCCATCATCTTGAAACAAGTTAATAAAGAAATCAGTAGCAACCTTTTTTATTACCTCAATATTGTCTGTCCATTCTCCACTATCTTGCCTGAGAGCTTCAATCTTATTGCGTCGTTGCCGCCCATTAGCTCTTGCATGAAAGTATTTGGAGTTTTTATCACCAAGATTATACTAATCACATTTAGCTTTCTGAGCCCATAGAAGTTCCGCTTGAATGATCACCTTTTCTAGTTCTAGCCAAAGCTTTTTCTGAAGTTGTTCCAAAGAGGAAGATATACTGGTATTAGATATAGATGGTGAGATGCCCTCAAGTCTACCCATAAGTATACTCTTCTTTTTTCCAATATGGCCAAAGACATTTTTGCTCCAATCAATGATTTCTTTAGTGAAGCTGTCGACATTTTCATTCCAGTTACTATTAGCATTCCAATTTTCCTTCACTAACCTGCTAAAGTCATCAGAACCCAAGGTGCATTAAAACAAAAAGGTCAAGAAATAAAGTTCTTAGGGAACATACCATACCGAAGCTGGAGCAAGATAGGGTGATGGTCTGACTTAAACCATGGGAGATTTTTGACAATAGCATCAATAAAAGTGCTCCTTGCTCTTGAGTTTGATATAACTCGGTCAATTCTGCTTTCACACTTGTCCCTTTTCTAAGTGAAAAAAGGTCCCGAGCAACCCATATCTGATAATTGTAGCTGGCTAAGCCAATTGCAAAAATCTCTATCCACCGGGGTTACTTTGGCAGCATTGGATTTGCGCTCATGGTAGAATAGGGTCGCGTTGAAGTCTCCTCCAATAAACCACGGCCACTGATTACCTGGGTCAAGTTGAGTGAGTTTACCCCACAAAGAGCGACGGATGGTGCTATTCGGGCTCGCATAAACTGAAGTAACATAAATTTTGGTGTCATTCTTTTCAGCCACCACGTGTATATATTGATCATTCATTTCAAGAACTTTGATAGAGAAGTTTTCATTAGTCCAAGACACCCATACGCCACCTCTGAATCCTGACACATCAACAATTTCGCAATGTTCAAACCCAAGCTTTTTACATGTTTGTTTTGCTTTGTCGCCACCAGATTTGGTCTCAAAAAGTGCACAAAAATCAACTCTATATTTTTTTTAATTTCTCTAATGAGTCCTGGAAAAGCCTTGGACCTCGTTCCCCTACAATTCCAAAAGATACAGTTCATGGTATTGAAGGTATAGGGGAGTTCATGCTACCCCTTATTGCTCTCATGAGAAGTTGTCATATCACCATTCAGGTTATCTGGCTTTTCAGAGGCGTGTGTGCTCGTAGCCATGATCATCTCCCTGTCAGAGTAACCCCCATTAGGTGAAGTTGAGATGGATGTTAAAGCAATATCCATAGGATTTGAGGTTTCCTAAGTAGTCATCGTGTTATTTGATCTCCCTTCCAGTTCCTTGGCTTTATCAAAATCAGACCCGTTTTCATTAACATTCAAGAGTGCCACAAAAGGGTTTTGAGCTTGCCAAAAGTTTGATGCCACGTTCGAGGGTGGAGCCGCAATGGGATTTTTGGTTTTCAGTTTAGGTTGACTTTTCCCTTTATCTGCCTTGATGTTTTTGTTTTTAGAATTATTAAACTAATCCATCGGGACCCACTTTATATTGGTTGAGAATTCCTTCCCAAAATTTTTTGGGTTTCCATTAATTGCATGTGAGGATCTCTCACCTTCTTTCCTATTCTGTGACTCCATATTTTTTGCTCCCTAAATGACGCGATCCTGAACCTAATTGGTAGCTTTCTTCATGATTTGCTCTTGGTGATTAATACCAGATCCTCCTTTTGCATTGTTTCCTAATTTTTTTACCTTTTGACCGTTGCACTAGGTTCTAGACCCTAAGGCCCTCCGTCGACGGTGCTGGGTGCTTGCCAAAAAAGTCTTCTGCTACCTTATCCTCATTTGGACGCTTCGGTATTCCACTTTCTGACACGTTGTGGCAAGGTGCCTGATGAGCAAGTGGGTCATTTGGTTCCAAGTTCAAGTCCACATTGACTTTAGCAATGTTTCCTGATCCATCAATGTTGGCTTGTTTGGGGGCAACGGTTTCTTTGGATATTGGAATTTGAGCATTATCTAGACAGTTATCTCTATGGTGACCGTACTTACAGTAGTGGAAGCATATTAGGTGTAATCCTTCATACTCTAAGATCCGTCTCTTCCCGAACACGTTGATGGCCAATTTTAGTTTTTTCCTGAGATCCAACTCAACGCAGATTCTAGCAAATCGTCCTCTCTCACTAGCATAAGTGATCTTATCAACCTTCAGAGTCCTACCGATCAATCTTCCAATTAACCTCAGGCTTTCATTATTGAAAAACTCGAGGGGGAGCAGGGGTATCCACATCCAAACTGCAATTTTTTTTTCTGAAGTTCAGCTTCCCAGGGATCAAAGTTGGGTCTCCAGTGTTGCACGATGAGATAGTGATCTACTATCATCCAAGGACCCTCTTGATGAATCTGGTTCATATCATATTCATCATCAAATGAAACAACAAAAAAGTCATTATCTAAGTCCCTTATGGTGTATGCATGTTTTGTCTTCCACAGGCGTTCGAGGTTTTGTTTCATTAGCCACAGTGGAATACATTTGCCGAGGAGTTTGACAATGAGCGACTTCCTCCATGGAGCGCACCAACGTTCATATTCCTCTCGGGGTACTCTGAGGATCGGGCAGTCCTCATCTTCCATCTGATCCTGGTCTTGTTCGGCCACCCCATTGATGAAATAGCGTTTTAAACTTGCGAGGTATTCATTCCAGGCATCATCAAATACCCGGCTTCCCTTCTTGTCACTTGAAACAGCATGTTGCGTTCCAAGCAATTTATCCCTGAATGATTCAGCTTCTTCCTTTGCAAATTCTCTGCTATTGTCACTTGCTTGTTCACCACTCACCTTCTTGTACTTTTTTTTTCGCCGTTTGGTTGGGTCGCCATCCTCTTGGATGCCACCACCACCACCAGTTTCAGAGAGAGTTTCAGTCTCCATTCGCTATTCCGATTAACATTTTTTTCTAATAAAAACTTGTTAATAATATTAAATAACTTATTAATTGCGTTACAAGAGTTTAAAAGTTTTTCATTTATTATGCATTAACTAATCTATCAAAGTGTAAAAGACTCTGAGATCATGTAGCTAATAGTATTATGAGAGTTGTTCATATTGTTATATGATCTATTAACCACATTATTAAAGTTATAAAAATTGCCTCTTCGTTAATTCATAAAGGCAATATGATCATTTTATCAAATTATAAAATTCTCATTTGATCATGTGTGACTAAAAAAAAATTTTCTATTCAATCTAGATATTAAAAAAATATAAAAAATGCAATTAATTTCTTCGGGCATAACTGGAAAGAGGGATAAAATAGTAAATTACAAAAGAGTTAGGGTTCAGCGCTCAATCGAGATAGGTCTCGCTCTTATATAAACAGGATCTTTTTCTTTCGTGGGATTCGGAGCATTTCTACGAGGCTTTCATTTTCACTGGAGATCTACGCCTTATTCATTGGTGTTCGGCTTCTCTTCGCTACCTTCCCATCCGCTGCCTCTCTGATACCCCATATGCGACGATGTTTTTCAGCTGCACCAGTGAGACGCAATGAAATAGAGGGCCAGAGGAGGCGTACTGGGATAAAAAATGGCAACGGTTAACGCCTCCAACACAATATTCAGATTTTTATAAAATTACTAAACAAATCAAATCAATATAATTTTGACGTCCACATCATATATTAGCTGAGCCAGCAACATATTCTCATCGGCTCCTCGCTTGTGTTACTGTTCATGAGAACAATAGCAGCTAAAACATCAAATGAGTGAGGCAAGTTTTGAATATTTCTCCTCCTCAAGTTTTGAATATAATCTGTCGTATTGTTGTTTCGCTTTTGATATTGCCTTTAGACCTGAATTTGTTGTTCTTATTTTAGCTCATTCAAAGTTATAGTTATATTTGTGCTGTCAAATTTTCAAAATGAGGGGAAGGAAAAAAATTCTGGCGAGCTTTTAGTCCACTAATTTTCTATCCTTTATTGAACCGGTCTGGTAAAACACAAAAAACGTTGAAGATGTTGAGCTAGCGAGAGATTTTTGGCATACCTTCTTAATACTAGAATCCCAAAGAGTGCAATAGCTTACTTCTGAGCTTGAATCTACCTACCTTCCTACTGCTCCTGTTCCAGAAGATGAAGGGAAAATGAAGAAAATGGAGATCCCCTGAGTGATGGCCAGTTGAAAGTGGGAGTTCACAAACATATTAAGAGTAAGTGAATGCAGTAAGGGACACACAGTTGCGTATTTTAATTGAATGTAAGAGAATAATATCCTTATGGTGAAAAATTAAGATTGTTTCTAGTGAAGGTAAAGCAGCAATCTAGTAGCTTGAAACCACTCCATAACTCAAGCGGGCAAATCTATACTCTGTGCTAGACAAACCAAAAACTAAAAGAATTAGTTATGACTTTACTCTTGAATAAAACTGCAAGAACAAAGCTCGAATGGAGAACACATAGCAAATATGCAAACAAGGTAATTAGAAGCTAACCAAGACAACTCTTGTCTTCTAGATATATATATATATAGATCCATAATTCCAGTGGACGGACCCAGCAGGAGCTCAGAGTTGTTGGCCAAATGATAGGTTGTTGTCGCGAGACAATCAGCACATTCCAGTCTGAATATTCCTTGGTCTCTAGCAATTGGAATACTTGATGCTTGAATATTCCCTTCTCTGCTTTGTCCATCAGCAAGTATAAACAGGTATGACTCTTTTGAATCTGATTTCGCCACAAACATATTAGTCCAAGGCCATCTTTTGACTTTCCTGCCACCGGCATTAGGTTGCATATTTCCTTTGAGCCATTCCTACAAATCAGAACAAATAAATGGGGTTCAGTAAATTTCATTGCTATCTCACAATCTCTCAATACATGAATGAGTATTTCCTCCCAACTACACTCAAAAGATACACAATATCAGTATTTATCCCTCATTTTGTTGAGTCAGTTCATAGGAAGCCTCTCATGGTATGCTCTTGCCAAAGAAAATTTTAATCTTTTCGGGCCGGTGCTACCTCGACAGTGTTATAAGCTGATTTCACACTAAAACTTCCATAAGAATATGTCCTCTTCCTGGTTACAGGGCAGCTTCACCGTTCTAATTCTGTCAATCACCCACAGAGGTGGGAATTTTCTCCATTCTCGTAAATTCCAAATGGAGATGTTCATTTTGAGCAATCATCCGAATTAAAGGCACATCTAGTGGTGTTCACAAGTCCACCCAAAATCTAGTAATAGTACCCCAACACAAAAATCTTCCCAAACAGCAACAATACCTTGCCACCAGAATCAATTATGACTTTAAAACTGACAATTAAATTAAGTAGCATTTCTCTTCATCTAGAAACTTATAAAGTATAAACCATTGACAATATATTTATTTCTTCACTTACAAATGTCAATGCACAAATCAAATCCAGATACTAAATAGGATTTCAATTCAGTAAATATCAGTAACTTGTTTGTCCACTAAATATATATTAAAGGATAACAAGCAAGTTAATTCCAGTTGTTGCTGACCTTGATGGTTCGGAGGGGTGGGCATGACTGCCTGAGCTAGCATTCCTAACCGAGACATCCCATTTTCTGCACTTAATCTCCGCCACTCTTAGAATCAATGACACAGAGCATGCCACACCTCTTGTCTCTTGGCATTCAGAAGCCATCCATCATCACTGGATCAGAGAGATCTCCATCTGAATGGCCGGACAACATCGAAGATTGAGCGCAACAACGGTGTCGTTTGTTTCCAAACGCCAGGTCGTGGGATGGCAGTATCTACCTTGTAGCTGGATGAGGATGGACCTTTGAGCATCAGTAGAACAGACATAGTCCATAGCCTCCGCCAAGACCATGATTGCTTTACCATTGGCAGAGCAAAGAGGGCACAGAGGGGAGATGGCGAAAATGTTCTAGCTTTTCATTAACCAATTTTAGAGTTGGCATGAGAGTAGTGGATAGGAGAGGAGTAGAGATTTAAGAGTCCAATTTTTTATTCAAAAAAATAGAGGAGTATGATTATAATGTTTTAATAAATAAAATACGTAAAATAAAAGAGTAAAAAAAATTACAAGTAAAATAGTAAAAAAAATAGGAAAAATTAATCTCTTGGTTCCTTAACTTTTAACTTGATTATGACATAATCCCTTAAGTATGACTTGGTAGGAGTCAGTCTCTCAACTTCTAACTCAGTTGAAACTCAATCCCTAATTTTTTCCTATTTAATAAATTAATCTATGTCATATATAACTCACCTTGAGTCATATATGCTGATATGGCTTCTAAATAAGCTCTGCAGTGATCAGTTGCGACCCTCCTCTGTTCCCTACTCATTTTCTTTCTTCTTCTCAGAATCATTCATAAGGCGAATGTATTATTTACAGTATATATGTAATGAAAAATTACACACCCGCCCAAACCAATCAAAATTAAAGTGTGGGTGGGGGACTTGTATTTGAATTTATGAATGGAGAGGCTATATAGACAGAAGATGCAGTGGGTTTAACATGACAGAGAGAAAGATTTACAATAAGATATTATTATTCTTCACAAAATCCCAGTATCCCACCAAGAAGCGATAGAATAAAGATGAAAATCAGGGGAAAAGAGAAGATGAAGCTCATGGAAATATGGAACCGAAGGAACATACTAAACTGTATAAATGCAATTCCATCTTTTGATTGGTGACGACCGAAAGAAGAAAAGAAAAATCTGTTCCTTCAATTCAAGCACAACTCCCCCCGCTTTGATTTTGATTGATGTGCGTGGGTGTGCGTGTAATTTTACATTGCATATATACTGTAAATTACACCTTGGCCTTGCGAATGATTCGCAGAAGAAGGAAAACGAGTACAAAACAGGGGAGGGCTGCGACTGATGAATGTAGAGCTTATTTGGAAGCCATGTCAGCACGTACGGGGTAATAGGGTGATGACTCAAGATGACGTGTATATGACATGGATTAATTTATTAAATAGAAAAAAAAATAACGTACTGAGTTTCAACTGAGTTAAAAGTTGAGGGACTAAGTCATGCCGAGTCATACTTAAAGAACTAAGTCATAATCAAGTTAAAAGCCAACAGACCAGCCGATTAATTTTCCTAAAAATTAATTAAGACTTTTAATCCTATTTCTCTAGTTTATTTTAAATTTAACTCATCAAAGTTTTTCATTTCCTGCCTTCCCTCCATTTATCTCATCTTAAACGGACTATTTAAGCCTCGGTTCTAAATCCACCATCCATCATTAGTTGATTATGCCTTTTTTACATGGTAAATAACATTTTTTGGATTTAATTAAGGTTCTCCCTTCTGAGACGTAGAGCCCAAAAAGTTTTCAGCTCTCCCAACGGGTATAAATAAGATTTTTTTTAATTCCTTTAATAAATAATTAATGTCCGTTGATGCATTTTATAGTAGATTATTATTGCTACAGCATCATCACATGATTTTGCACTACAGGATGAACCTAAATCCACCCAAAAGACAATCACCATGCAATGGGTAAGCGACAATGATAGCTTGGTGATTCGAACCTTGTCTTCTTTCGCTAGTACCGGTGACACCGTCATCAGATCAATAGACCATAAGTACAAGAAAGGAGATGGATTATTGAAGGTACGAGTTGCTCTGTATCTCAATGAATTCCAAGACTGCGATTCAGGACGAGAATTTTAGAATGGTTTTGGATGAAATTTGGAGCAGAGGAACGAGAGTGAATCAAATCACGGGAAGATTGCTGCTGGTTGCCGATATATTTGGACGATGGAGGAACAAAAATGAAGTTGAAGAAGTCCAGATTGGATTGAGGAAGGATAATGGAAGAGGAGAAAAAGAATTGGCGGCGGTTTAACGATGGAGTTAGGGTTAAATGAACACTAATACTTGTTTAGTACATATGGCCTAAGCTATTTAAATACTTGGACATAAT